GCTGCGGCCCCGCTACCCCACGGAGAGCGAGGACGTGAAGATCGGGGTGCTGTTCGCCTCCAAGGCCATCCTGCAGCTTCTGGTGAACCCCTTGAGCGGGACCTTCATCGACCGCATGAGCTACGACGTGCCGCTGCTCATCGGCCTGGGCGTCATGTTCGCCTCCACCGTGCTGTTCGCCTTCGCCGAGGACTACGCCACGCTCTTCGCCGCGCGCAGCCTGCAGGGCCTGGGCTCGGCCTTCGCGGACACGTCCGGCATCGCCATGGTGGCCGACAAATACCCCGACGAGCCCGAGCGCAGCCGCGCGCTGGGCGTGGCGCTGGCCTTCATCAGCTTCGGAAGCCTCGTGGCGCCGCCCTTCGGGGGCATCCTCTACGAATTCGCGGGCAAGCGCGTGCCCTTCCTGGTGCTCGCCGCCGTGTCGCTGTTTGACGCGGTTCTGCTGCTGGCGGTGGCCAAGCCCTTCTCGGCCGCGGCGCGGGCGCGGGCCAACCTCCCGGTGGGCACACCCATCCACCACCTCATCCTGGACCCCTACATCGCCGTGGCGGCCGGCGCGCTCACCGCCTGCAACATCCCCCTCGCTTTCCTCGAGCCCACCATCGCCACGTGGATGAAGCACACGATGGCGGCGTCCGAGTGGGAGATGGGCATGGTCTGGCTGCCGGCCTTTGTGCCTCACGTGCTCGGCGTCTACCTCACCGTGCGCCTCGCGGCGCGCTACCCACACCTGCAGTGGCTCTACGGCGCGCTCGGGCTGGCAGTGGTGGGTGCCAGCTCGTGCGTGGTGCCCGCCTGTCGCTCCTTCGCGCCCCTGGTGGTCTCGCTCTGCGGCCTCTGCTTCGGCATCGCGCTGGTGGACACGGCTTTGCTGCCCACGCTCGCCTTCCTCGTGGACGTGCGCCACGTTTCGGTCTACGGAAGCGTCTACGCCATCGCCGACATCTCCTATTGCGTGGCCTACGCGCTCGGGCCCATAGTGGCGGGCCACATCGTGCATTCGCTCGGCTTTGGGAAGCTCAGCCTTGGCATGGGTCTGGTCAATCTGCTCTACGCACCTGTTCTGCTGTTGCTGCGCAATGTGGGCCTCCTGACGCGGTCGCGCTCGGAGCGCGAAGTGCTGCTGGAGGAGCCGCCGCAGGGTCTGTACGACGCCATGCGCCTGCGGGAGTGCCCCGTGTCCGACCCGGACCGCGCACCTCACAGCCCGCCCGGCCCGTTTGACGAGCGCCAGGACGACTACAACGACTACTACACCCGCAGCTAGCAGCCCTGCTCCTCCAGGCCGCCCGCCCCCTTCCCACCCCTCGGGTCAAAGTGGCTGCTCCGTGAGCTCACCGGCCACCTCAGGCTCAGGGCCCACCCCTCGAGCAAGCACCCGGCGCCAACCCCTGTCTTGACTTCCTCTGCCCGGGTTCCCTCTCCGTGACCCTCCCAGTGCCCCGTCCCTCTCCCCCAGTGGAGCGTGGAGCACTGCGGTGCGCAAAGCCTGCGCTACTTTCACAGAAGAGGCGTGCGGGCCTCTGCCTCGGGGCCGCCCTGTGTAGGGCCGCGTGTCTGTCTCTCCTCCCTTCCGTTCCTTGGCCCGCTGCACAGCGCTGTCTTTGGCCCCATCAATAAACCATATCTGTCCCAGACTGAGTCTCTTTACTGACGGGGGAGGGCGGCCAGGCACAGAGCCAGGAAAGGGGAGGGTGAACTTGGTCGAGCCCCAACGTGAGTCTCAGCCTGGGGAACCCTCCGAAAGCCTGTGGTTCCTTTGCTACCTAGGTAAGGAGGTACTTGCGAAAAAGACGCCAACCCAAGTGCTCTCCCCCACGGACACCCCAGGATTCACCACCCCCTCAGCCGGCCACAACCCCACCCTCCTAAGCCCAACTCAGTGCCCAGGGTGCCACCCTGGGGAGCCAGAGGACCAGCCCGCGCGGAGCACAGGCCCGGCCCTCTAGGCCACGCCCTGTGTCCGACACNCGCCACAGCCCCACCCTCCTAAGCCCAACTCAGTGCCCAGGGTGCCACCCTGGGGAGCCAGAGGACCAGCCCGCGCGGAGCACAGGCCCGGCCCTCTAGGCCACGCCCTGTGTCCGACACCTGCCTCCGAGGCGCCGGGCGGGGCTTTCCCGTTGAGCCCGCATCCTACCCAGTGTAAGCTCCCAAACGGAGTGGGGGCCAGCTGTTCTGCGCGGAGCTCGGATCTCTGGAAACACATGTGTTGATGTGTGTGTTGGTTAGAGAGCCAGGCTCTATCCTATGAGTGGGAAAATAGTTGTCGGAGTGCCTTGCTGGGTCCCTGCCCCGCGGGTCTGAGCGGGACTGGAGGGGGTGCCCCTGTGGGATCTGGAGCCAACCCCCCACGCCTCCCCATCCCCACCCGTCCCGAGTGGAAGCAACGTCCAGGGCTGTCAGAGACGTCTCCCCGCCGGGAATGCGGGTCCCCAGGAGCCTCAGGCAGGCATCTGTGTGCCACTCCCAGTCCCGTAGCCGGAGGCCTGCTTGAGGGCGCAGCGTCCTCCGGTTCCAGCGGGGAGAGGCCGCCAGGTTCACACGCCTGCGTTAGGCGAGCCGGTGGGGCTCTGCGGGGCATGCTGTCTGGCTGTGTGTTTGTCTGGGCAGGGTCCGTCTTCGTGGGTCCGTCTGTGCGCCTCTGTGTGAGGATCTACACGGGGAGGGGAGCCGTGCTTTGTTCGGGAGGAGCGCGCCTCTGAGCGTCCCCCGGTCTGTGTCCCCCACCCGACAGCGCCAGCCGCGATGGGGAGGGACGGCGCAGATGAACAGCCAGGTTGCTGTGAGCAGCATTCTCGGTGGTATTTTGAAGGGAGTTGCATGTAGGGTGTGAGCCTGGCTAGACCCTGGGGAGGGCACAGATTTCTCCAGACCCAACCCTCCCCAGGGCCCGGCAGAGCTGCGGCTGCAGACGG